GGCAAATCAATTTTATTTTCTTCTTTTTTTTTAATTATTATAAAAATACGAAAGAATTGCATAAATAAAGGTGTTCTGTTTATAAATACATTTTTCTTTTCAAATTTTGGATTTTAGCAAACCGTCTTTCACTATTTTCACTTCTATACATACACTTAAGAATTTAAGTAACTTCAGGGGATTTGAAATGATTGTGTCGTCATTTCGCATTCTACATACGAGTACATACATACATATAATATTTGAACTTTTACACACCCCATGAATTTGCATAAATTTCATTTGTTGTATTGAGAAATAAAATATATTTTTTTCTAATTTAGTTTTATTATAAAAGTACAAAAATTATGACAAGAATAAAAAATTCACTACAGCAATATGTTGTTTGTATTTACATGCATACGTGTATACATGAGCAGAATGCGCTATTTTTGACATATGTATTCTAATTTTTCGTTTGCTTACATTTGTCGCTGAAGATTTCTTGATATATAATATTATATGTAGTACATAGTTTTTAACTACATACATATATGTATGTATGTATGTATGTATGCTGGTATGCAATAATCTTTTATATACACTTTGTTGGTTATTAAAATACTTTTGTACACACATACATATATGCATTTTTTCACTTACATATTATTAAGCTATAGATATTTTTTATATTTTTATTCTGAAAAGTTCAGTTATATTATATGTATACACACATTTGTATGCATGTTAGTATGTATATATTAAATTTCTTTAAAGGTACGTAAAGTGTTTATTTTTAGTTTGAGTTTTCTTAAAAAAATATTTTAACATACAACTAACACACAAATATAGGCTTTTATTGGAAATTTCTATACATATTTTACATTGCATCAAAACAAAAACGTGAACAATAATTATTAATTATGCCGAAGTATAAACGCTCGTGCGCACAAAACATCAAAAATTCTGTGAACATCAGCAACTTCGTTTCCGTTATGCGAAAATACCAAATTGTAGCGTTTTCCGCTATTCACAGCTCACTAAACGAAAACGACCGTTTGGATACTTCGTGCGATCGTTGACACTTGTCGCAGTTGCCACACGGTGCTTTAAATGCGTAAAATCTTAACCCTTGTGTTTAATACAAAGGAGGAAGCTAAATGTGTGTTTAAGAAATCTTTCTTTAGCTTCAACTTTATACTATTTACCACGAATTGTTTTCAGCAATAAGCGTATCTAAATTTATCTTTATTTGTTGACCAATAGTACGTTGGGTAGGGCTATTTTTCAATTTCATGTATTTACATATAATTTGTGGTTAAACATGCATTGTTTTGGGAGTTCAAAAGCGCAATACAATTTGTTTAAATATATTGGTTTTCTATATTTTATTTTCAATTTATGATTTCTTAGTTTTTGTTAAATTTGAATATAATTTCTATATAAAAAAGAATAAACTATTTTTATTATTTTTTTCTATAAAAATGGTGTCGATGTCGATTTAAGCAACAACAACGCTAGCACATTCGATTCATTTAATTTTTTTTTTCGCTATACACATCAATATTTAAATATAAGAATATTATTTTATATATTTTAATTTAATTCAGTTTTTTTTTGTTTGAAAATACTTTATTGCATTTATTTACAAATAGTGTTCGAGATTTGCAATAATGAAAATAATGAAAAAAGTAGTAAATTATATGCTTTAGCTGCGAATGCAAAAATAAACATGAATACAAAGTGAAAAACGAAAATATTTATTTATATAAATACGTGCTTATGGCATAATATTATAAATTAACTTCAAGTGAAAGCTCTAAAACGATTAAATCTAAAAATTCAGTACAGCTGCGCAGCGAAAAAGCAAGCAAAAGTTTCAAACACATACATACACAAAAACTTCAACTCATTAAATTTAGATTGACATTCTAGAAGCTGTAATTTTCGAAAAATCGTAAGAACGGAACCTGCGCAGGCAAAAGGAATTTGAAACTAATAGCTTTAGTGCTTTAATATGAAGAGCTTTCACTCTTAATGTTTCAAAAAAGGGCAGAATGTAATTTTTGAAATTTAAAAAGTTTGCATTGAAAAACATATTTTCGTAAAAGTTTCAAACTTAAAGCTCTGGTGGTTTGGCCTGGAGAGCTTTCACTTTTAATGTAATTCAAAAAAGTCGAAAAGAAAGCATTAAAAAAATCAATTTAAAAGTATTAATTTGTTGTTTTTGAATCTTATGTATACAACAAATAGCAAGAGTTAAAGTAGAGAATTAAAAGTTTTCGAAAGACACTGTTTAAGGTGGTAATGTTTATTTTTAATTTTTTTAATTTTAACAACAATATTTTTTTTTTTTAAATTTTTCCAGATTGTTAACTTTTCTAAGGAGATTGTGGGACGTATTTTACTGAATGAAAATTCATTTAAATTTCGTGACAGCTTTTGTTGTTCTTTGAATTCCAAATTTTTTAGAGGTTATGTTTTTTTTTTTTAAAGGAACATCAATCAGTAACTATTTTAGCGGCATTTTGCATACATTTTGAATTCTGAAAACATTTTAAGTGTCTGTGTTTTTTTTTTATCAATTGTGGTTAGGTCTGAACAACAAAATGTTTAGGCTGAATTTTCAATAAACAATTTAATAACAAGAACTCTCTCAAAACCACATTTAGAGATTTAAAGGCGGATACGTTTTCAAATTTTGCGTTTTTAAGAATTTCCGCTTTTTTGAAATATTTATAAAAACGTCGTAAAACATTAAGAGGTATATTATTATTGCGTTTATGTTAATTGAAAGATTTTTGTAAGTGTAAGTTTCATATTTTAAGGATATTTTTAATTTTATAAAATTATCTTCAAATATATTGCTAAATTTTTACTGAAATTGGTTTCTCGATTGATGCGATACTTGCGGGAGAAGGTTATATTTTATTCACTTGGGAAGCTCATATGGAGTTTAAATTCAATATTTAGGTATTAAGACAACGTACTTGTTAACTTCTTATTAATTAATTTTTAAATTACACTATTAACAGGGTAGGAGTTTAGTGATATACTGTTCAAATGTTTATTTATTTTTATTAATGATTTTTTAGACAATGACAAGTTGGGTTAGGTTGAAACAATACTTTTTTCCGATAGCAAAGAATTTAATTTTAATTTTTTTTTATAAAATTTTTTTTCAAATTTTCAAAATTTATTCAACAGCGTAAAATGCGATTTTACATAAAAGTAACTTTAGAACAAACAAAAGAAATATATATTTCGGGAAAGCGCTTGCTACATGTTCCCGTACGGCTGTAAACAATTCGTTATTACACACCGGCAAATGAGAGAAACAGTTCACAGCATTGGGCGTAAGAAATACAAGAAAACAGAAGCTTCACTTTTAATGTAAATTCAAAAAGATTACTTATTCGCGCAGAAAAAAAAGCACAACACACTCGTGACCACAAAATTTACTTCTGCTCGTGCCTCGTGGCAAATGTAAACAGACAACACTGCCAGCGCACAAAAATTATCGATACCAGTAAACAATCGACAGCAATCTCCGTTGCAGCAAAAACGCCAACAGAAAGCCATCAACCGACATATATGAAAATTATATATATATAGAAAAAGAAAAAGTCTTGCATTTATGTATTTTTCATTAATTTATGTAACGTGGAAAAGTTTTTATTACAATATATAATATATATTCAATAAAAAAAGTTTCAGAATTTATAATCACTACAAACATTGTTTAATTTTTCTTTTTGTTTTGTATAAAAAGTATAAAAAAATCATTAATGTTAAAAATAAAAACGATTATTGTATGCATGGGTATGTTGCAGTGTAAGAGCAAAAAAATTTCTGTACAAAATAAATTTAAATTTATAATAATAATGTTGATAATTCTTTTAGTTTTTGCCTTTACGTTTTATGTTTAGCTTTTTTTTTTTTACATAATTTGCACATATTATCTATAGGTGTATGTTTTAATAATAATAATAATAATAATAATAACAACATTTGATAAGCATAATTATTTGCAACAATAATATGTAGCAATTAACATATAAAAAGGGTAATAATAATGATTTAAAAAACGTTTTTATTCACAGTAACAAATTTAATTGAATTAGAAAAATATGACAAAAGTATAAATGTATGTATGTATATATAAAAGTGTTTTCTTCAACCTCTTCTTCTTCTTCTTCTTCAACGTTCCTTACATAATGTATTTTAAACATTATTCATCTATATGTATATTAATAATTAATACAAAATATTACATTTTACTAGTAAAATTTAACTAAGAAAAAATTGAAATAAAAAAAATTTTATATTATCTACAAAAGTTTTTGCAAAATCAAACATATACATAGGTATATAGTTTAGGAGATACATTATGTAATTGCACACATAATTGTTTAAGACTGAGATATCATTGACGCCGGCATGCGTACTTTGCACACAAAGGTCACAAGGTCAAGGTGTTTGAAGGTACATTTTAATAAGCGCATACATAAGTTCGCTTTTGCGCTCCAAATCGTCAGCTCATTTGCACGTTCGTTCACTACCGACAGCTTGGTAACGGGCATGCGCGACATCAGGGAGGCTGCGTTTACGAAAAACACGACATGTGGGTTAGTAGTTTAGCTTAACTTTTGTTTTCACTACATTCACTTTCATTATACGTTTACGGTTTTTCTTCTTTTCTTTTCTTTTTTTTGGCTATAATGAAGGTAATTGCAATAATAATATTTAATATAATATAATATAATATAATATAGTATAATAATAATAATAATAATAATAGTATGTGAAGTAGTAGTAGTAGTATATAAAACATTTACAACATTCTTTCATTATTATTATTTGTTTTTTTTTTCACTTATATAATACGTACAACAACATTTGAATATTATTAGAAAAATGTGTGTATGTGTGTGTGTGTGTGTGTGTGTGTGTGTGTGTGTGAGTTTATTGTATTGTATATGCGTGTATTTGGGTATAAAAAACAGCAAAACGTTTTTCACTTTTTTCACTAATTTTAAAACTTATACATATGTACATAATAAGACATTATCTATGTATGTCGTATTCTTTTTGTTTTTTTTTTTTGTTATTTTGCATCTATTTATTTTACATTTGTTGTTAATTCATTTCTTGCTAGCTCAGCTTTCTACTCGCTAGTTACACTACTATCAGCTTGCATTTTTTGTTTAGTTTTGTTCGATTACAACTAGTTAATAAAAAATAAAAGTTTTTTTGAAATTTGCTGATAGCGTTTTTTTTGGGGGGTTAGATGATTTTTCTTCTTGTTGTTGTTTGTTTTTATTTACTAAATTATTTCTAAACAAAACAGCGCCTTTTACGTACATAACGTTGCAGCATTTCCATCGCCTATGCAGCTGCTCGTATGGTACATACATACATTAGTAAAGATCATTACAAAACTTCGTTCTCTTGGCGCCGTCTCTGGACTAGTTGGCCTAAACTGTGCTGGCAAAGCGCTGTTTTATGCAGTTATATTTATGTTTTCTGTTTGTATGTATTTTTCTTTTATTAAATTTTGTCAAGTTTCTTGAAATTTTTCTGCTTCACTTTTTGTTGATTAGCAATGTGTTAATATGTATGTATTTGTCTGTTTTGAAGACTGTTAGTTTTGCTTAATTTCTTCTATTTACTGCTGCTTTTGAATTAATTTAATTTTTTGCTATTGTTTTTTTGTTTCTTCTCCAATTTTGGATAAATTACGTTTTGCACTGTCTTCTTGCTAACAGCTCCCTCTCCATATTTTTGTATTTTTTTCAAAATCTCTTTTTTTATTAAATTAATTTAATACATACACTTTTGCTAGAATATTTATTTATTTGGTTTTGCTTTCGCAGTGTTTTTTAAAAAAATAAGCATTTAAAAAAATATTCTATTCTTTCCCTTTGCTTTCTGCCCTCTCACTAACATGCACTCGTTTTTTTCTATATAAAAAAAAATTACAAAAAAAAAAGAGAAAATATTCTCATTTACATACATATATTTACAAACACTTTAATTGGCCACCAACAGTTGTTGGTAGGGTCCAGTTGCATTGGAATAGAACGAATTGAGACCATCGATCAGTTTCGAGTTGTTTGAGTCTTGTTGTTGTTGTTGTTGCTGCTGCTGCTGTTGCTGATTGCTACTGTTGGCTGCAGCGGCAGCGGCAGCGCTTGCAGCTACGGCGGCAGCAGCTGCTGCAGCTAATGGCGATGGGCTAACTGCTGTTGGTGTTGTTGCTGCGCTGACTGCGTTGTTGGTTGTTGTTGGTGTTGTGGTTGTTTCGGCCACCGAGCTGTTCGATACAGTTACGGTTATGCCACTATTGCTGTTGTTATTACCATTATTAGTGTTGTTGTTGTCGCCAGCAGCACAAATCTTATCAGCCAACTTGTTGTTGCTATTGCCATTTGCATGTTGTTGTTGTAGTGGAGGTGCGCCAACAACACCTGCGGCTGGTGCCATATGTGATTGCTGTTGTTGTTGTTGTTGCTGTTGCTGCTGCTGTTGGTGTTGTTGCTGTTGCTGATGAGCAGCGACGGCCGCGGCAGCTTGTTGCAAATGTTGATTGCCACCACCCAAACCGTAAAAGCCATGTGGATCCAGATAATTGCTGAATTTACTATGACCATTTATTCCGTTAGCAGCGCCACCGCCATACAGATTAGCGCCATTATCGCCGGCGGCAGCAGCATGGAAATGTGTGTCAAAGACATTTCGATGTCCATTGAACTGTGGATACATGCCCATTGAGGCCATATTGGGGAAGTAGAAAGGATCGACGGCAGCACCATTCTGACCCAAGCCCAATGAGAGGGGATTCGGTGAGAGTGAACGGGCTGGTGAGACGGGTCCGATGGGACCGAAATGATTTGGTGGTTGCCCCACATTAGGACCACCATGACCGGCACCGCCGTGATGTAATTGTTGTTGCTGTTGTTGCATGGCACGTTGTTTAATGTAGTTGGAGAACTCAGTGGGCGACATACGATACGAACTGCTGCTGGTAGATAGATAAGGGACAAAAAAAATATAAGAATTAAGCACTACCTTAGCGGGAGTATACACAAAATACCAACCTATTGGTGCGCTTGGAACTGGTTTTCAACTTGGTACTACCGAATTTCGTCTGTGCAAAAGTGGCTGTTGTGAATGTCAGTGGCGCTTGCGTGCGCTGCATAAACGAACCATTTGCAGCGGCAGCTGGATTGGGACTACCCTTGTAGGTAGGCGAATTGGAGGAGGCCGAATGTGGCGATGAGCCAGCATGCGGTGAAGTCTTCGGACTCAAATTCAAATTATTCATGCTCGTATTGACCGCATCGATGGGCCGAAAGCATTGCGCTTCGGGATTGAAGGTTTTATTGACCTCACGATCGGCCGATGTGTTGTCTTCATGATTGTCACTATTTTCCGAGTAAAGTATCTGGGTAAGAGAGAGTTACATATGTTAAGTAATCGGAGAAATTAACTGCTTTCTTTTTTAATAATCTTACCTTCACAGCACCCTTTTCTCCAATGCGATACGAGACCTCACCGGGATCCACCCAAACCGAGAGTTCAGCTGGTAAATTTTCTAGTATATCAGCAATAGGCACACCGCTCTCACGGGCGGCGCGCTCCAAAACCGAATCGATTGGATCGCCAGTTTTCAAGCAACGAAATGCCGATCCCTAAAGAAATAGAGAAATAATTTATGAAATAATTAGAAGTGTGTGCTAACAGTAGACAGGCAAGGGCTGGAGTTATGGCCTACGCTAACTCTTATTTCGATCACCCCGCAGTAGATATTAAAAGGCACCCGGCTTAAGGAGCTGACTTAGAAAACAAGTCAGCCCGCTTCAATTGTCATTGAGTTAAAAGAGTAAACTTTGTCTGGGATCAGTTTCGCACCCCCATATATACCACGACTAAATAGTTCTGAAAGTCGCGTACTAAACTCATTTTTTTTCCTGTGATATGTCATCAAAGTCAAGTGATTCCCTTGTAGGCTTTCGCGTTTACAGTTTTTCTTAATCACAAAAACCACTAACAACACACTGCGTACTCACCTTGAATGGCTTCTCTGGATACCAATGTCCTTGGAACTTATCCTTCAGTGCCTTTTCCAATTCCTCGCCAAAAATATTTACCCGTCGCCTTGGCAGTTTATTGTAAAGATATGAGATCACAAAATTTAATGCCACTTGAATTTCTATATGCATTTTGTTGCTGTTGTTATTGCTGTCGTACTTGTTGCGGCTGGTATTTTCACTGCTCTGTTAGTAGTAGTAGAAGTAGTAGTAGTATTTGTTGTTGTTGTTGTTGATGTTGTTGTTGATGTTGTTGTTGATGATTTAATTTATATATATTTTTATATTTCTTGTACCGACGCACTTATGTATAATTATTTGTTTGTTCTTTGGTCTGTATGTACATATGTACATATATACGTGTACGTATGGCTTGTCTGTAAGTGCTGTTGTACCCGTTTCGAAAATTGCGCTGTTTATTTGTTGCTGTTATTGTTGTTGTCGTGTTTGTAGGGACGTTAATAATTTTGATTTGTTGTTGTTGGTTTATTTTATTTATTTTTTATCTTTAACTTCTTTTTTTTTTTGGGCTGAATACTGTCGCGTCGTGATAATTTAATTATAATATAGGTGTTGTTGGCAACAGTTAAATGTTGTTGTTACTATTGTTGATATTGGGGCTGCCAATGAACGTGCAGGTTTATGAAATTAATTGTTTGCTGGTCCTTTGCTCTACTCTATACTCGGTTTCCTCTTTTCTTGCGTTGTAAGTTTATACTGTTTGCTTTTGTAGTTGTTGTTTTTCTACGCCTTTCCTGCAAGTTTAATCGGCTGCCGTTGGTTTTATTGTCTGCACGTTTTTCAACTAGTTTTTTTTTTGGGTTCTGTGGTTTTCGTGGTTTTATTCTGCCAAATTTGAATTTTTTACCATCAAATAAATTTTTAATGCATGCGTGTGTGTTGTTGTTGGTCACAATTAGTCTGCGTTTTAAAATCTTAAAAGCATACTTGTTGTTGTTTTTATTAATTTTTTTGTGGTGTTCATATAATGTTTACTTTTGGTTTATTTTTTGTTGTTTTGGAATTTTGTGGGTCGGGAATTTTCTTGTTTACGTTGTATTGTTGTTGTTATTGTTAGTTATTTATGACGTTGGCTTTTATTTTGCTCCGCTGCTCTTGCAATGCAGTTGTATTACACATCGAAGTAGCGCAGAATGTTTGTCGTTGTTTGTGTAATTGAGGGAGGAGAGTTCTCTTGTATTAAGTTTCTTGACGATAATGATTTTTTTTAAATTTTTGTTGAAATTAATTTTTGAAATTTTAGTTCACTGCCTGGAATAAGATAAAAAAAACACTATTATTAAACATAAATCAGAAATTAATTAAAAAGTCTTCAACAACTTTTTTGCATGTAAATTCAATCGTGCATATAATTATATATATAATATATGTATATAATCGGCCATATGCATTTCTAATAACTTAATTTTGTTTTCTTCATCAAATAAATATAATTAGAAAGTAATTTTGAATCGCTTAACTCATTTCTTAAATTTATTATATAAAAAATAAAAATTCTACTAAATCGTAGAAAAAATGAAAATTAATATGTAAAAATGGTTGACATTCAACAATTATTTCCCCTCACTTCGCCTTCACGAACAGTGTTTCCGTTGCGTTGAGGCCACTCAAAATTATAAAAAACGAAAATTAACATCTGCCTTGTTCTCTTTTTGTTGCTACTAGCTGTTTTTAATTTAGCCCGCATGCTAGTGGCAGAATTCGCTCTAAGCAGCTGTCGTAAATCTTCTCGTCGCATTGCTGTGATTGCTCGCTCACTGCACAATTTGTATGAGTATAGCTCATCAACTTTTTTGACTGTTGACGGCCGCCTTTTTTCGCATTTTTTTCGTGAATTTATTTTTGCAATTTTTCATGCTGTGCAGTGTCAGACACTTTTTGAAGGTGTAAATTTTTGGTTTTATTTATTGCTATTGCGCCATGCTCTTGACTCAATTATTGCTGGCCAGTACAAAAAAAATACAACAAAAAATATTTGTATATATTGTAATGAAATGCGAAAAATGAAATGAAGTGAAATACAATTTAAATTAAACGAATTAAAATTAAATAAAGTGCAAGAAAATACACTAAAATAAAATAAAAAAATTAAATTAAATAAATAAAACACAATAAAAAACAAAATACCACTTCATAAATAAAATTAAAAGATAAAACTAAATCAATTGAATTGGAATAGAATTAAATTAAATAAGATAAATAAAAAAATAAAACAGTAAAATAAAATAAAATAAAATGAAATGCGGGTTCACTTGTGATAATGTTTGCAAATATTTTAAATTCGTTATACACAGTTATTTTCTTATATGAAGTTGTTTTAAAAATCTTAAAAAAGAAAAACATTTTATAAAAACGTTATAAGTTTTGGAAAAGTCTTATATAATTCAAAACATATATTCTTCGGAATTTACACGTTATTCTTGCATCATCTCGAATATTAAAAAAAATTTCCAACCTCTAACGTCAGCTTTCCATTAGTATTAATATTTGTAACATTAAACAATAACCGTACATACATTCCTCGTTAGCTCGTGGTTTTTCACTATGCCTGCCGTTTCGATTTTCTCATTCTTCTAACCACAAGTGAATACTAGAACGTCAGCGATTTGGTACAGTTATGTAAGCCACTAAATTTTTCCAATGCATTTACTATGATTTCACTTTCGTTTAAAAAAAAGAGAACTTGATAAAAATGCCTACGAGAACAACAAATGTAGCGCTAGTAAAATGTAATGAAGTAATTCTGAAAAATATCACATTTCAATACATACATACATACATTCACCACTGTAGGGTCATAGAGAGCATTTTGCAAAGAATCGAAGGTTGAAGAAAAATTGCATGATAGGATATATCTGACAGAGACATACACATATGTATGTAGATACAACTGCACTTATGTATAAATTTATTATTATTTTTTGTATGTATATGTAAGTATAAAATAAAACAGTTTGTGTATAAAATACTGCTTTGTTAGATCTATATTCGTCTCTGTAGCGTTTATATAAATATGCATATGTGTTTGTATGTATATACATGTGAAAGACATTATTTTAACAAAGCTTAGTAGTCATGTGAGCAGACACATTGACTATAGACACAGAAAATGTCCTTATTGTTTGGTAATATATGTGTATATTTATGTATGTATGTAAGTGTGCCTTTAGCCACAGTTGACTTGATTTTATTTAAAGTAAATCCTAACACATTTTTCACTTTAGCGTCACCAAATCGATTCAATGGCATGGAACGACACTTGTGTCAGCATAAAAAAAAAATACATACATACACACACACACATGTCGTAGAGCGAAGCGACTTGCACTCGAAGACTGTCACCACCATGTCTACAGGAAAAGCTTTTAAAAAGACATACATATAAATACGTATGTGCTTGAGAGTGATTTTGAGAAATTGTATGTTTAGATATGTGTATACCACGTGTATGCGTGTGCCATAAACTTTCTTTTGTATGCATATTGTACACATTTTAACTTAACCTTATCGCAATCCTTAATTTCATTAAAACGAGCGAAAAGGGATTATTCACGCAGACATAAAAAAAGTTTTGCGTTAAATTCGAAATCCACGTAATGGCTTTTGAAAAGAAAATTGCCTGCATTTACGGCGTAAAACATTTATGACGTTAAAAAGTGATAAATCTCCTCGAGTTGGAACTTTACTGTGCAGAAATTTACATAATATGGCTTATGAGAATTTTGTGTTTGATTAAGCTTTTAAGTTATACAAAAGTTATCAAATGCATATACATGCATATATGTATGTATGTATACGATCATGAGTTTCGATATATATTTGCATATGTTTTGCATAGCGTAATATTTATATCCATTACATAAATGGGAGGTTTTCGATTCAAAGAGAATTGGCTGTAATAAATTAAGTATTGAAATTAAAAAATTGAATATCAGCCAAATTGTTGGCTATTATTTCAATGATATAAAATCGTTCATATATTTTCTTTTGAGTTGAATATTTGTAGTTTTATCTTTAATTTCAAGCTATATTTATACTTATAATATATATTCATGTAAATATTTCCAAATTATTATATATAATTATTTAAAGTCTCTCCACTCAAACTTAATCTAACCTAAGCCTTTATAATTCCATTCAAATTTAACATAACCTCAATTTATTCTTATGCCCTCAAAGGTCAACCAATAGTTTTAGCTTAGTTATTGTGGTTTTTCTCTCTGAAAAACTACCAACAATTACACATCTTTTTCATTTATATTGTAGATTTTTGGTGCATTAGTTCATAACAGTTCAGTGGCATTTTTCGTTTTACAGCAAAAATTGTGCCATCCAAATTTATTTGCCAAGTTTTATGTATGCAACGTTGTTGGTAGTGGCGTTTGATGTTTTACATAGAGCGAAATAAACTTACAGTATACATAGCAGAGTAAATCAATGGGGAATTTTTCGAAATAGGTTTTATAAATTTTTTTTTGTGAATATCTAAAAAAAAACTAGAGATTTTGAGAAACAAAAAAAAAAAATTATTGAACATTTTCTACATATTTATTCAAAATGCTTAAAATTTTTTATATAATTTTAGAGTTACCATAAATTTTTTATTGAAATTTACAATTAAAAAAGGTTATCTAGATATTAGCATTTTTTGACATTTTTTTACGTTCCAATATAGAGAAGCAATAAATTAAACTGGACTTTTTGGTTGAATCGGTTAGTGATTCGCTGAAGTATTTTATTTAATCTGAATCAAATTTTTAACACTTTCAATTTAAGAGGCAACATCACTGTACATACTACGATTTTTTCTTGTAATTCGTATGAAAGTTTCGGAAGTGCAACCTTCTACGGAAGGTGAACGCTCAGCGGCAGGTAGACTCAGTGTTTTAAACCTTAAATACGTTTTTTTCAAAACGCAGCATGACTCAAATAACTTTCAATAGTTTTAATCAGAGGTTTTCTCACATTCTTACAATAACATAAAAAAAACACGAAGAGGACTTTTCAAAAGTTTATTTAAACAATTTATGCAAACAATTAAGTGGCGATTTTTCGGTCAAAAAATGAGTGGCAAGCATATTTGAAGCCAATTACAAAAAAATTAATATTTTCTAAATCCCCTACAGAAAACTCTAACTGTTCTCATTATTTATTTTGTTTTAGATTCAAGTGAGCTGCGTGCCGTAGAGATCTTCTAAGCAAAAATTAACGGAAATATCCATAGTTCCGCCATTTTGTTATATTATATTTTTTTTTGTTGAAAATTTGTAATTTATTATATTTCCATTATTTTTCTTCCACAAAAAAAGAAAATAAATAAAAATATATAAATAAAAATAAATCTTAAATGAATCTTAACTAAAATAATTTTAATGTCAGACAAACAAACACATTAGTTGCCACCGCTTTGTCCTTTTGAAAAAATGCCCGTAGACCTGTTGGTTTTTTTTTGGGATTTTTCTCACATAGTTTGGCGCTTCACATAATACCAAA